TAAATAAAATGTATTAAAATCCATTAGTTCACATATATTATTGACAGTGAACTAGTAATGAGCTAATAAGTACACAGGCCTGCGATGGTTTTATCGTCTTGAAATTATTACATGTTATACAGTAATTCCTGTACGCTGAATCCTAAAATGATGTAAATTTTTTTCCATCACGTACAGATATTTCACAAAACGTCATAACGCAATACATAAAAGAAAGATCACAACACGTAGTTTTGAGACTAAAAGACGTAGATTTCACAAACAAATCAGAATGAATTAAGATGCATATTTGTTTCACAACAATGTTTTTCCCTTTTCTTCAGTTTCTTTGTATTTTTGTTAATAAACATAATAATAAAAAATGTTTATTGTGGTAAATGAAATAATAATTTGATATAAGAGTTTTTTCCTTTCCGATTTGTAAAAAAATCCCTACGTAATAGAAAAAAATGAATATTATTTTCGAAATCTGCATAGCTGAATTATGGAAAATCCTTTATTAAAACCAAAACAACTTTTATGAAGTTTAAATTCGCAGGCCACCACTGGCATCGAAACCCAGTGTTTAGCGTTATAAGTCTTTAGACTTACCGCTTAGATAAATTATAGGGTTAAATTATATATGATTGCAATAAAGAACAAACGATTGTAAAAAAAAAAAGTTTTATAGAACGAAACCACGAAGTATCGAACACAATTAATAACTAAACAACATTTACTATTATCCGGAAAAATAAGTTTTCATTCTTCAAATCATATTATTGAAATGTTTTTTATCTCTAGTTCTTTTTTTTTAATGGTGTTTGTTTGCTTGTTTCAGCCCAAAGTCACACAGTGGATGATCTGCGCTCTGTCTAGTACAGGGAATCAAGCCCGTATTTCAGTATCGTCTGTCCGTAAACTTACCACTGAGCCACCGGAGGACATCTCTAATTGGAGACTTGAACAGCTAAATTCAAACCTTTTAGAATAGTTCAGAGTTTAGTGTAAGCATAAAGGTTACATTAATTATGCACTAAAAAAGTAATCTGGTTCAATCGAGCGTTAAACTTTTTTTTTATTAGTTCTGCAAATCCTAAAAGCTTTTAAAGTAATTAATACCTTGTTGTCAGATTTTCTACTGGGACACCCTTTCAAAAACTGAACTTACTAAATTAATGTTCTCAGAAAGAAACAACAGTAATTTACTTGAAAAGTTTAGTTTATGTCACCAAATCTAGGTATGTGTGTTTTTTCATGAAAAAGAAGATATAAATTAGTTGAAAAATTATCTACACTGTTATGTACGTGTTAATATCTTTTATTTTAAAGAAATATGCGTTGTTGATATTATTCTATTAGTAGAAATAAGCTGATTTTAATAGAAAATAACACAAATATATTTTTGCTTCATAAATCTATACGAAAGACTAATACTAAAATATTAATAGGAAGTAGTAGAGGGTGAGGCAAAAGTAATCACGCTATTGGAGTGAATAAACCTTGAAATTTACATAATTATACATCAGATAAATGTGATCTTGCTTGTAAAGTTTTTTTTTGAATTTCAACTTACAATCTATAATTTATCGAGCTAGAATATTTGACGCTTAAGGCTTGTTGTTTTATTCACCGTTTGCTCACTCAATAATACTCTGTAATCATTACATTAATCTGTCAACAGGTGCCACTCAACGAACTGTTGTTGAAGTCAACATGTGGCACTCAACGAACTGTTGTTAAAGTCAACAGGTGGCGTTCAAAGAACTGTTGTCGATGAACCACCAGACTGAGTAGGGGAGAGATTCACGGAAAACAGTATTGAAAATGTCAATGTGTGTTGTCGGGATAGATAGTATTAGTTTTGAGGGGACTCGGAGACGGCAAATTGTTTGGCAAATGATAATCAATGTAAATCCTACTGAATCGCACTGGTTAGATTTATTTTATTTTTGTGTAATAAATATGGAAATCTGAATCTAGCATCGTTCTTTCTAACATAAGCAATTCTGTCGTCCGTCGGTGGGTCAGTGGTAAGTTTATGGGCTTATAGACCTAAAATCCTAGGTTCGAGTCTCCACTGTGGACACTGCAGATAGTCAATGAGGCTTTACTCTAAAATAAATAAACAAGGCAATTCTGTTACATCGTTACATGCTGCCACAACGCAAAACGTTTTTTTTTTTTTTTTACAGTCGACATATTAATGTCACCAAATGTTTATTTTAGTTCAATCACCGGAAGAAGTACTACCGTCGTTCGACCAGTCTCGTTACAACACGCTCTTAATGAGAATAAATGGGAATTACCCGATACCCTAAAAAAAAAAAACATTGTATGTATAAAATAAATGCCGACAGTCACAGTTTTCATTTACACGACTTTGAAAGCGTGGTCAAAAACAAAATTAATTAGCATTTGATATATAAAGTTCGTCAGATTTGAAGCACATCTGTTTATACTCAATCATATATTTCACAAGACGTCGGTTCAGTAACATTGTCATTATACGTCACTGGGGATAGGGAAAAGAATTGCGCAATTTCCTTTTAATCACGTGCTTTCATGCTCTTAATTAGGTCTCATTTCCACATAGAGCTTGTTAGGAATGTAGTTCTTTCCGGAAACATATATACAGCTATGTTCAAGCACTTCTAGAGAAATCCAGGGACGAATTACATTAAAACTTATGTTTTGACAATACAGGAGCTTACTTTAACAGTGGTTATTCACTACCATAAGACGTGGTTGCATTTCCGAATAAGACCCCCGATCTGACTCGGGTTTAACGACTGTTCAGAAATTATTAGTATCTGGTTGGGAACGTACGTGTTGTACTAGTTTGTAGGAAGAAAAACACCTGAATGTTTTATTCTCACAAAGAAAAACTTAATACAACTAAGGCTTCCAAACATGCTGTCAACAAAAATTATTACAACTCTTTTCTTTCTTCTACTAGTACCATTAATGACTGATGGAAAGCGACCTGATCGTACCAACTCTGACCATCTGAAACAACTGGAGGTAAATACTGTTAGTTCTTATGTTACATCTAATAGTAGTTGAAATCAGTATATTTTTTTCTCTTATGTTAATTTAAAATCATTTTTCAAGACATATTATTACTATTAAAATTATTGCAGTTAAAAAGAACAACATTTTTGAAAAGAGAGAAGAAACTAAAATATTAGGATACATTTCTTTTTCTGTCTGTCGTTTGTTAGTTTTTGAATTTCGCGCAAAGCTACACGAGGGCTATCTGCGCTAGCCGTCCCTAATTTAGCAGGACTAGAGGGAAGGCAGTTAGTCATCACCACCCACCGCCAACTCTTGGGCTACTCTTTTACCAACGAATAGTGGGATTAAACGTCACATTATAACGCCCCCACGGATAAAAGGGCGAGCATGTTTGGTGTGACATGGGTATTCGAACCCGCGACCCGCAGATTGCGAGTCGAGCGCCGTAACCACCTGGCCATGCCGGCCTTGTCTGTCGTAACCCACTTAATGTAGATGGTACTCTTAACACCAGATTTTAAGTTTAAATTTGCACAGGTATTAACAAACTGTTAAGAAAGTCACTTAAATTCACAAAAAGGTAAATAATAAATAAAGGTAAATAAGGTTAGCGCAGATAGCCCTCATGTAGCTTTGCGCGAAATTCAAAACAAATCAAACAAACTGATCTTAAAATGAATAATGGTTGTTGATATCGAAAATATATTGTTATGTCACCATTCTTTCTAAATCCACATGGTATTGCCCATGTAGCTTGTTCCCTTAAATGGCTTTTAGTATATTGAAGACAAAAAGTTAACATAGGTTTTCGTTATATTATATTTCACATTTTCAGGATTAATATGAATTACGTACTTTCCTGTGATACACTGATAACCTTTCTTTATCGAGTTGTTCTCATACTGTCATCAACCATGTGACTCAAAGATCTAAGTATCTTTGACACATTGTAAAACACAAACCAACTTAATTAGATCTGTGAAGCCAAACTATAGGGGAACAGGTAATGAGCGGGAAAGAATGGACATCATGACCTGTAAAGGTAGTGAAAGGTTCTTGTAGATGCAGGACAGTCAAATATTGTATGTGTAGATATATCTGAAAAGGACAATAACTCATAAAATTAACAAGGTCAGTGGGTGCTCAGGCAGAACCGAAAAAATGATGTAAAGTGTTCTGAGGATGGGGCTCAACAGCTCAAGGACAGTAAAGTAGTAACTCCAACGAACATAAAAAACAAAAAATAACATGTAGATGTTCCCCATCCTGCTTGAAGAAAAAGTGTCACTCCTAAATATCTCTAATGCTATGCAATAATGTGCACATAAAAATGGAAAAGGTACTTACCGAGGTATCTTCTGTCTAATTCCAGAGACATCACCCTCTAATGAAGCATCAGCACAGAGGGTGGAATTGTGACTAGGACGAACATAGAGGTGTATATAATGTGCAAAAGTCCTGACTGGACAAACCCATATAAATGTAAAATCTCCTAAATAAGGAAAGTCTATTAATTATACATATGTGACAAAGACAAATTCAGGGGGTAAGTACAAAGCTTTCAAATTTTCCAGCTGTAATAAACTGAGTAAACGTAAAATATTCTAAGATATGAAAGTCCAGTTTTTTATTATTGTTGTTCAATCGAATAACTTCTCAATCTTTGACACCCATGTAATTATTAACATAGGTGTTGAGCAGTATATCAATATTTTGTGGATCTAACTGGTAAAGAAGCAAAAGCTAAAACAATTACCTGATCAGGAATGAATCTGGCTTGGACAATAGCTACAGATGACCAACATAATCTCAAAGCTGAAGAGACGGCAGTGTGATGTAAGTCAAATTTTAGAATGTATTTGGATTTATCCACATGCCGACCTGTAAAATTTCATCTAATGTGTACCGAAACCCATAAGTCCAAGCAATTTCCACATAGATGGTTAACCCAAAATTTACTTGTAAAGAGTTTATACATCACAATAGGTAAGATAGATCAGCTACATAAGCTAGTTCAATAGTGAGGGTGAAGCAAGATCCATTAAACAATATTTGCCATAAGGCATAAACAATTTTTAAGCCCCTCAGGAGAACTCCATTCATTTAATATAACAACAAAAAAGCCCTTACTCGACGTAGAAAGCATTCTCCAGAATAAAAATCTGGATCAGTCAGGGAAGGTAAAACAATTAGTGAAAAACAGTAGTTATATTATCTTGCACCTAAGTCTTTGATAGAAATGCCCTATCAGGATATAAGAAAAAGGAGTATAAGATACATTGAGATAAACGTCGGATCTTCTCCTACCTGAATTAAGCAACAGAAAAAAGATCTGTCTTTAATTAAAGATGGTATAGTAAGCACATCACTAAAGGTTAAAAAGAGGGAGAAGTGAAGCATTCTAAGATAAGAACAAAGTCCTGAAAACATTGTCCAGGTACGAAGTAAGCAAAAAGCTTGAAGAAGATAAGAAAAGAATGGGGATAAGAGAGGGAAATAGCTTCTGTGGCATCTAAAGAAGTTGTAACTAGCAATAAAAGAAGCAAGTAAGCCACAGTCGATAAATTAGAACATGACGAATAAGGCAATCTCTTGATGAGTTTGAGAAATACAAGAAAAATAACTCTAAAGGCACTAACCTGAAGGTAGTCTAACGTAACTGGTCGATGGCTAAAGATGAAGAGCTGTAATAATGCGCTAACAATCGTACTACTCGAGAAGATAATTTGGCTTATCTAATAAATTCATGCATAATAGCAGACTGTAAAGCTTAGACAATAAGCATTGGTGTGGAAGATTGACATTCGAGTACTTAGCATATAAGATTGACAACATATTGAGATAGACAATACAACAGGGTAAACCACAGTTAAGCTGACCACTGTTCAGAAATAACACGTGGCATATGAGCAGACTCGGAGATAGATATGATGTGAATAGAGCCAAAGATGAGGGAAGAATTTGGTAAAATAAAGACTGCGAGATTAAATTTCTTCATGAATTTGATATATATGTCAACATTGAAGAATTGTCGGTGTGAACAAAAACACAACGGTGGTGATGTAGCAAAGATGGAAGCTTTTAGCAAGAACATTTAACTGTCAAAGTTTATAAAAGATTGGTGACATTCTTATACTAGAGAAAACCATGAAACTGAGAGATGGTGTTCCTTTGAGAAAAGTATCTGTGAAGAGGTATACAGCTCTATGAAGTAGAAGAAAAGAGGAGCCTGCTCCTACTAATCTCTTGATTGCGCTAAATTTGAAGGTAATCAATAGTAGTGGAAAAAAAGAGAAATTTTCTAAAGTAATGAGTCTAAAGAACGATGTCAGTGTGAAGCAACGACGTATTTGAGAAATGCATGGTCTTCAAAGCAGAAATAATGTGTTTGATAGTAGATGTACAAGACGTTGCCATGCGAAACAACAAAATGTACCTTGAACTGTGTTGGTCCAAAGTCACAGATATACCAAATACATTTTTGTTAGTAAATGGAAATTGGCATAAGGCAGTGTTTCTCAAACATTTTCGTCCACGACAAAAAATCTCGTATGACCTCGGCCGTGGCGTTGCGCGTCACTTTTGGAGCAGCTTGCGGACAATCAGTGGACCCCAAACTAGCACTTTGAGAACCACTGATATAAAGCCAAGAAATTTATCCAAGAAATGTAGCCCGCTAAGTTGTTCAACTTGCAATAAATAAGAGCCTGAATGGTCATAAAGGTCATAATAAGCCAACTGTCTATGTAAAAGTAAAAATTGATGTCAACAGAAAATTTGTGGAGCCAAGAGGAAAAGCGGTGAACTAATTAAACTACTCCCAATGGTAAAACGAGGAAATAACTGGATGACAGATGAATAGGGATATAAAGATAAGCGTCTTGTATATTCATCAATATCATGCAGTGGTCGTGATGAAGAAAATTTTCAAACAACCGCGTGATTTCCATTTTAAAAATTAGGTGTCATCAGAATAAGACGAGTTGACACGAGTATGTGGCTGGTGAACAATCTCTTGATATCTTCATAACCACAAAGAGATGGAACCTTTTTAAACAATTTTAATTTCTTTCCCAATGAGATTTGAAACTTCCTGATTCACAACTTGTAAACATTGGACTAGAAAGAAGAGGAAAAACTAAAACCAGATTGAATTATCTGTTTAAAACGTACGGATCCCGTAGGTAAACCAATTATCCAAGATTATACCACCACCACCAACAGTCCAGATAGAAGATTTGTCTGCACAGAATAGTCATTGGGTGGGTAGAGAAGATCTACCTTGTTTACTTCTACTTGTCTTTACTCTGTAACTTTGAAATGAATATTTAGAGGTACTAACATGGAATGAGAACTAGACAAGGGAAGCAATACAGGAGGATGAACGTTACTTTGCTGGTCATTTTTCAAGGAATGACTACCAGAAGCCAAACAAAAATGCTAAAACTAATCATCTCCTGCTGACATACTTCTCCTGAATCCAGAAAGGAAAAACAATGTAGGGGAATATATTGATTTAAGTTCAGCTAAAATTTGGGATGTGATGGAGGAGATTAGTACCTGTAACAAAGTACAGTGGGCTAAAGTAAAAGAGAAACATAAAATCTGCCAGGTAATACAAAATCGTGAGACTGACAGTGAAGGAAGATCGCAAGAAAAATTTTGGCCCTGACTAAAATAATTAGGATAGCAAGAGTAGTTGATAAATACTTTGAAGAAAAAAAGTCTTAAATGAGACAATTCGTAGTCTGCAGGGCAGAAAACTGGCAATGGGTCAAGTATACGAGTACGTGAAAGACCCCCTCAAAAACGATCTGAGAATCAAGACCTTAAAGTTAAGCAGAGTAGAATTATATGACCCTTTTAAAAGATCATGAACATTTAGCTAATTTCTAAAAAAACATCAGAAAAGGCCCAAAACGAAAAGAAAGTTAAAAATATAAAGATTCAATAACTATATATACAACTTGACATTAAAATCCTCAGGCATAACAGGAAACAGTTAAAGGGGTAAAGTAGAACATAAGCCTAATAAACATTTCTTTTCATATTAAGAAAAGGGCAGGTGATCTTCCGTGGAGTATCCCATGAATGTGAACTCCGCCATAAATTTCAGTAGACAATATGGCTTAAATATGTGGATCATTAAGAACTAACAATACGACCAAGAGGCAGACTGCGTGAGTAAGGCACCCAAATTTGTTAAAGGACTTAAGAGTACGATTGTTAACAAAAAATTTTAATAATGGTGGGAAAGCAGAACTTATGGAAGTTATCTTTGTGCATGCGCAGTAAGTCACTTGGGAGGTGGGAGAATTCTGATTAATTTGGCACACGATCTGCATCAAGGACATTTAGAGCTTTGAATCATATGATTGTTGACAACATGAGAGCAACTCAACAAGTAAAGGATATTTCAAGGGTAAGTCTACATGACTTGAATTTTCATGCAATGGTTTTAGCCTTGTTTTAGTAATAATCTTTATTTTAATATAAACGTTATAATATTATAAGAACAATATTTCTATCATAAAGGCAAAATGTTGGACTAAAATCCCATGATCCAAATTACGTGGAGTGACTTGTTTTCAATTTTTATATTGAATATTAGATGTGTTAATCTGAATTAATTGTTGTTTTTTAATATTCATAGCAGCGAGGGAGAAGAGAACAAATAAAGGTAACAATATCAGACAAAGAGATATTCAGCCATTGGTCCAAATGGTCACGGTGCTCCCGAAAATGTAAGAAGGTGCGCAAGCGCATATGTCTCTTTCCATTAGAATGTGAAGATCGAGTTTTAAAAGACGTAAAACCTTGTGGAGGGCATCTCTGTAAAGATAATACACTTGTGAATAAAGAATCCCAAAGCAGAGAAGCTTTATATTCTCAATGGTCAGAATGGTCACCTTGTACCCGTTCCTGCAAAACTCGTCGATATCGTACCTGCTATATGTGCAAAAGTAGTGTGGAGAAGGAGGAAAAGTTGTGCTCTGTAAAAGGCTCTGCCTGTGAGAAACTGTATCAGGAAACGAGAAAAAATGGTAGAAAACGAAAATCTAAAAAGAACAAGAAGGGTCAGTTCCATTTCATTCTGGGTCTAATAAAATATAACAAAGTGAATAAAGTGCATAAATCGGTACGAGTGTAACAAACATTATCCAATTGTATTCAGTTTACTCTTAATTATACGTATTTTTCATGTATTTATATCGGGATCTGTTAAATGTTGTTTAAAAATCTTTAGGCTTAAGCTTTGGATTAGTCGATCTAAAGTTCCCCTCCACACGCACACACTCCACCTCCACTCTATAAAATGGTATTTTGTGCATGAATGTGGTTCTTGGGAATCCAGATATTCAAGAACATACATTCTAGTCTGACAAATAACTTCCAGTCGCTTTAGTTCTGACGTCTGTTTATGTCAGTTCTTATTCAGTCAACTCTTACTGGAATGACCATGATGAGTAGAGTCAGTTTGTGAATTGACCGAAATTCTACTAAAATAAATAGATTAATTCAAACCTTATAATGTAATGAAGTCTAACATAACTGACGGCTAATACAATTACTTTGAGAATAAAATTTTTTGTTTTTCTTTTCGACTTATGGATTTATTATAGAGATTCGAAAAGGAAAAGAAACAACATACACAATGAATAACCGGAAATGTGGAGTTTCAGCTAAAAAATTTCCTGATTTGCGCATTATCGGTGGTCATGAGGCTCAGAAAGGTCGTTGGCCTTGGCAGGTTAGTCACTTTTGTAGAAACATGTTTGATATTTTAATTTGTATTGCAATGTTATGGTAAAAATGTATAATTACTTTCAGAAAGGTTAAACATATTAAAGATTCAAGGAATTTTGATATACGCTAAAAGGCCAGTTTATTCGTAGAACACTTCATATATTTACATATACAAAATGGCCAATCATGTGATAAACAAAGTAATTGTCTAAAGTTCTATAGCACCATAGTGGTTTGGTGGTAAGCCTTATAGCTTAAATCGCTAAAATTGGGTTTTGATACCTGCAGTATGCAATGCACAGATAGCCCATTGTGCAAATTTGTGATTTTATGACAAACAAACATACAAAAACTCTATAAGTGAAGAAATGTAGCCATACCATATGTAGATGTACAAATAGGTTTTACTTTCAGATTAGAATGTTAGTGTTTGAAAAGCAGGAACGTCGTTATCAGATAACATTTCTTTTTGACTGGTTGTTCAAAACATCTGTCATCAACAATGATAATTCAGTGGAAATTTGCATGTCATAAGAAAGAAAAAAGAACTGTGTCTGTCAACTGATGACAAATGACGACAGGAAAAATGATTGAACAGTCATGTAACGTGAAATAAGTTAAATTATATCCCACTTCATAGATTTTTCAACAGTGTTCAGCACCTGGCTATTCCCATTTGTACCACGCATTGAATATTACAATCAACTATTATATGATGACCAATAACCATTGTGAAACCAGATTAATTTGTACATGGTGGATTTAAAACACAAATGTTAGACAATGAATGACCGAAAATGTCGGACTAGGTTACACAAGTGGCGTTTTTGTCCCCTTATTTTTGCTGTCGGTAGAGATAAAAGTATGAAAAAAACACACACACAGAGCATTTGACCCTGTTGGTGTTGTCACAAATGACAGTGATGGTGCAACCTAATTGAAGTAGTATATTAATGGATGTTATGTTCTTTTTATTTGAGTTAGGTGTTGGGTCTTTTGATTCCTTTAAAAGTATGAATAACATCATTAGTATACCTAAGCATATTTGCTGATCGTAACCACTCTGATAAACAAAAAGAGAATGAGCTTCCAAGTCAATAAGACGACAATCTTATGAGCTTGTAATGAATGAAATTAGACAGCAGAAACACAGATTTAAAATCGAATTGGACATATTCTGCCACAATATTTGAATCAGCTGCATAACATACTACTCGTTAAATAGGTTTTAAACAAGACACCTTGTGGAATTTGTCACTCCAAGTCCTTCATTAGGTTGTAAAATAAAATACTGAATATATAAAGAATACTTCACATGGATAACAAAACATCCTTAGACTATTTGGTAAATTTTAATCTGATTAAATCGGACCAGTTTACATGTCATTTTTCAGCATTTTGATTTTTAGCCGCGACATAGCGGCCCATAGAATGGCTCTGAGTTTTTGGTTTTTTTCAAGTACAAACGTTTAGCTCATAGCTCTGTCTTTTAAACGCTAAAATCCTGGCTTCATTACCCATGCAAAGTATAACACAGCCCATTGTGTAGCTATGTGGTTAACAAGAAAACAATGAGCAAGTATTCATAGGTCTCTATTTCTCAAAGAGCGTTAAGGGAAGTTTTAAAATTTTCTATGTAAAATCTTTTATAAATAATTTACTACTTTTGTTTCTACAAGGACAAAAATGAGCAGCTCTAAAATAGGGTTCTTAAAAACTTTTTCTGTAACCCTAATAGAATAATAGAAATGTAGTAAAAATTCTTTATGTTCTAACGAACTTTAATGTCTCCATTTAATATACGAGACAAGGGAGTTCAATGTTTGACTTAATGTGATTGGAATGTTTAATTAACATATTATAAAAATGATTGCTAAAAATTAAATGGGTGTGAATTGGCGGGTTTATAAAACACACCAATTTCCAATTCTTCATTTTAATCAAAAGTGCAACATATACATAAATCATTTTTATCAGGTTTATGAGTAAATTTAAAAAATTGAATGAATACTGTTCAAAAATTATAACATTCTTTGGTACCAGAAGAATGGTTCTAAAAACAAAACCAGTTATGTGTGTAAAGTTAAATGAGCATAAAATGGCGTATGGTATAGTTTAAAAGTAAAACATTACTTCAAGGTTCTCCGATTACTCCACATACATTTTTGACTGAAACTCACTCTGTTGAAAAGCAGAAAATTGGAAAATTCTTCGAACTAGAGATCCTCAAATTGAAATTGAAGTGCTTCAAGTTGTTGCGGAACACCAAACATAATCGTAGTTCACAATTCAATACAATTAAATAACATATTGTTTAATATTTTTCATAATGTTGATGCTTTTTCTATTCCTAAGATTGAAAGCAAGTGCAGATGCTGTATTTTTTTATAAACATAAATACTAATAGGCTACGATTATTGATAAAACATATACTAAAATATTTCGAATAGTATTCATCTCAGTAGTTTGTCCAAGACCCTTAACGACTATCAGAAAACGAACAATTAAAATATGTGTAAGCTTCAGACATTTCTGTATAGATGGCAGCAGCTGACCTCCATATTTCTTATGTATAACTAAATAAATTGTAGAACAAAAATAGAATGAAGATAATCCATACTTTTTCTTCTGGAATTTTTGTATACAAGTATGATGAACTGTATTGCTATTATTGCAAAATATTTTAGCAAATATCAAGTGCTTCAGGTTCTATGAATATATGTAGGCAGTAACTGTATCAATATAGAAATTAAGTAGTCATATTGCTGGCAGGATACACCGATAATGACGAGAGAACTGATTTGTACTATATTTATATACACGTGATGATAGACAAGTTTATGATTCAACAAATTGTTTTTTAAATCAACCATTGTAATTCAAAGATATGAACAAGAAAACAAAACGATTTCATATCTTATAATTTCATATCTTCCGTTGAAAAAGAAAATTTTATTTGAGTCTGGTGGTTAACGTAATAAATTGTATTATAAATGTAACTTGTATCCTATTAAGTAACTTTGACGTAGAATTATACATCTTGATATTCTGCGCTGTTTAACTTTTATTATTGATTTTTGAATTTGTTTTTGTTCAGTGCAACTGCAACTGCAGCTAACTAATATGATTATATTGTATAATAGGTTGTAGTGATGAACCGCTTCCATGAGCCTTTCTGTGGGGGAACGGTAGTGGCTTCACAGTGGATCCTAACCGCAGCGCACTGTGTTCGGAGACGTTTATACATACGAGCAGGAGAGCACGATGTCATGGATGAAGATGGGTCAGAGCAAGAAGTCCGTGTTGCCGACTCGTTTGTACATCCCAATTATGACTCTGAAACAGTTGACAGTGACGTGGCTTTGTTGAAGCTACGTCACTCTTTGTCAATGAATGTCGACGTCTGGCCAGTCTGTCTGCCCAGTCAAGAGGCTGAACTTTCTGTACGGACATTAGTTACGATTTTAGGCTGGGGTAAGTCATATAAGTTGGACATGTTGGGCATGGATGTGTTACACGAAGCTCGGGTACCCATAGCTAATGTACAGGACTGCCAACAGGTGTATGATGACCACAACATCAGTGACAACATGATTTGTGCAGGCTATAAGAGGGGTCGCGTGGACTCGTGCGATGGTGACAGTGGCGGTCCCTTGTTGTATCAAGTCAATGGAAGATGGGAAGTCCACGGTGTCATTAGCTTTGGACAAGGGTGTGGTGAAAAAAGAAAGTACGGTGTTTACGCCAAAGTGTCAAAATTTGTGAAATGGATCAAGGAAACAATAGAACTTAATTCATAGTACTGTAAAAGAGATATCTACAATGTTAGCATAAATGATACCGTTTCGGTAAATTTTAGGAAATATTAGCTTTAACATACGTGTTCTAGTTTTGAAGAGACCAGTTAGATAATATTTTAAATCAGTTTAAACAAAGCTGATTTTAAAGTAATGACAACAGAAGGTAATTTCTCATACCGCAATGGATTTTATCAACAGATGCAAAGGTATAAAGGTTTATATGTTACAAAAGTTGTTACAAATGAAATAATGAAGTATCTGAAACATGAAATAAAAAAAATGTTATGAACAAAAATTTTAAATCCATTAAATAGATGAATTCACTACATTACAATTAATTTATCAGCGATTCTGCTACATGAATTATTTTAAAGCAGTATTTATAATTATTGTCGGTTGAATTATACGGACATAAATAACATAATGCTGAATACGTTTTGTTTGTTATAACGATAGTGATATACTTTTAATATTTATGACTGTAACGAAAAAATGATATGATTTTTATTGATTAGAAAAGTACATGTAAGAAGAATGCAAACGAGAAACTTAATATTTTATTTTCTTTAACTAAAAAAAAATGTTTGAGTATAAGAATACGCCAACCAAAGGTTATTAAAAACGAAACATGTGGCGAATAAACACATCAATGCAAACGCAACACAAGAACAGTTAATCTGAACAACTGTTATTTCGAATATCATTTGGAGTGCGTGTTTTCTTGTTAGTTAGCCGTAAAAGGATGTATGTCATAAAGAAAGCTATTTAGATAGACAAAAACAATTAAGTTCAGTTTTCCATCCGACAGGTTGAAAATTGTTAAAAGTTTTGTTTTGAATAATAACTAATTTAAGCATATTTTTATAAAGAACAAACTAATTCTACCAGGTGGCTCAGAAGCCTCTTGAAACGTTAAAAAAAAGCTGGCCACGTACAAACATACTCAAGTTCATCAAACCTTTTTTTTTTGGATATAAATATAATTTTTTGATTAATTCCTGCTACATCTAAAAGAAAAAAAGTTTGATTGGTAGTGTCTGTAAATGGATTTGAAATTTCCTGTGACATCTATGTTAGTATTTCTTTAACAAATAATTTGAGTCTGTTTGTTTTTTTATAAAACATAGACCTAACAAGACTCTACAGACCTTTGAAATGACAAGACATTTTATTTCTTAACATTCTTAAGGCTTTGAATAGCCTTAAAATTAAAGTATTTTGCTTATATGAGGCTTAGAATTGATAATGCTTTGTTAGAACTGATAAATTTTATGATGCTTAGAACTGATTACCACAACCTACATGATTTACTTTGCTTCTAAGTATGAAATACAATCTACATGGTACATGGATTACCTCAACAACAAACATAGAATGGTAATTACTGATAAGGGATTTAGGAAAATTTCCACAAACATAGAAGATAAGGAGTTACACAATTACTAAAATTGCAACAAACATTGAGAAACCTGTAAAGCGAGGGATCGACGTTATTCAAATCCTTTGGGAATAATACTGTGTTTCGGAATTTGTCATAGAACAGTTTAATAACGCATGTTAATATTAACTGCTGGGGCTTATCTATGCATTTGCTAACGCGGTAATTATATTAATTATTGAAAAAAAATTAAAACAAACGTGATATTTGCATACGCTTATGAATTCAAATTTTTGTTTTTTGCATAAACACAATATTTAAAACTTTAACAAACACAATTCAACATATAGTGTTGGCTTTGTTTTTCAATAAGTTGGAAAAAATAAATGTTGTACAATACTAACATTTTTAGTAGCTTTGATACAATTTGTTGGTTTTCATTTCAACAAATGCTCCAGAGAACAGAGTACGTGTGCGAATAATTTGTGTCGAAAAGGACTGTTATATACTCTTCCCAAAATCAATAAATTTTCGGTAGCATCACATTACTTACATACACCAGACAATGTCAAAATAAGGTTCTGATTAATCTTGTTCTATCACGGCTTTATATTTGCTTCCGTTGACTTGTTGATTTGCATATTCAGAATCATTTTAATATAACGTACTCAACCCACTGGAACACAAAAATCAAGATCAAATACAAATTATACATTTTCCCGATGAATGAATTGACGATATTTTTTTTTTCATGGCATCTTTTTTTATGTAAATACTCGACATACTGAGGTTTTCCTCACCTACGGGGGCAAAATCGTTTTCTCTCATGTGCAGCTGCAGCCGTAAACAACATTCCTGACATCACTCAACTATTCACAGCTTTCTAGAACACTTCCCCTGATTTATGTTTTTACGAAGCAACATCCCAGCGTGCCAGATGTCTTCTATGTTATTAGAAAAAGTTGTTGTAAAGATAGAAACCATATGTCAACTATCAATTTTGTTTCCTGAAAGACACGGTTCAGTTTGTAGTAAAAGTTGAGCACAGCTATGATACCAAACATTTGTTGTGTTTTTCTACATGCGTCGTTAGATTAAAACATACGAAGGACGAATGTCATTAGAAGCAACACTAATAAATAAAATATTAATTTATCGCGCATGCTTGTTAACTACCATAACATAAACATCTTTAGAAGCTTTCAGTTGTTTACTTGATAGACCGTGCAGTGTATAAATCAGTTAAGATGGAAACGTATTATACACAATATTTTCTCAATTTTTTCTGTAACCGAATGTTGTTTTGTATACCCTAAAGGGTTACACTAGAGAGAGATTAATTTTAAATGTGCATCATGTACTGCAATAAAAATGTGTTATTTCTTAAAGGACTTATAAAAAAGCACAAACAAATACAACATATTATGATGACTATATTACAATTATCCGGGTATAAAAAATGCTGAGGGACTTTTACATCCACCGTAAATACAAATGTTTTATGAAGATTAACAAAGACTGGTGTTTGTGTTGTTATGCATATTATATATTTGAAGCGCTAAGAACTAATAATTTAATCAACCCACATACAGTATAGAATAATTTACCAAGTGAAAAATATTTGTATAGAATGGTGAGAAAAATGGACACTACTTCAATTTTGCTTACAAATTGTATTTTATTTCAACCAGGCAATGATATCAAATGATTAACTAATGATGTTTTGTAAGCTGTTTACTTACATCTTTTCATGTCTTTATGGAATCCTCCACACACAGTCGTGAAATACTATTAATTCGAATGTCACTAATTTTGGGATAATTTAAACACAGGTGTATTCAAATCATAGTCTGCAAGACTATAAGTAAAAGAAAGGATCTGTACAACTTTATGAGAGAGTATGACTGTAGGTGTTCTGCTTGTGTAAGTTCATTATAAAAAAGCCCCCCTGTGACACAGAGGTAAGTCTGATGACGTATAACGCTAAAAAATCGGGTTTCGATACCCGTGGTTGACACAGAACAGATAGTCCATTGTGTAGCTTTGTACTTAACTACAAACAAAGAAAATGTTATAGAGATATTTTCTTTGACCAGTTGCTCAAATACACCTGTTATTTGATTCTATTAACAATGGTGAAAGTTTAAAAGGAATATTTTTGTCACTAAGGAAAATTACGGCTGCCAACCGCTGTTAACTTAGCAAGACAAAAATAATGAATAGGCAAAATTTAAAGGAAAAACCATGTTTCAAACTGCATCCCAACTGATAGATTCTTTTAGTGTTGTCAGTGCGACTGTTTTCAATTGTACCATGTAAAGAAAAAAATAAATAACTGTTATATGTCAGCTACCAACCAGGTCGAAAACCACTTACCTCAGATGCAAACAGAAAAGTATGTCTACAGTTGTGTTCAAAACAAAAACGGTGCTAAAAGTGTGGCTCAAAGTGGGCGATGTAGATTATTGAATCGTGTTGCTTATTTTTCTGTATTGACAGTAAAGTACATCTTTGCATATAAATCACCGAATGCACTTGACTTTGTTACAAGGGAATAGTAAAGATGTGGTAACGCTATCGCGACAGGCATTGAGACGTCTTGCTCCTTTAGAAAGTGCAAATAACGTTTGTAATGGGTACATAATGTTGTTGCCTCTCATTTTAGTCCTAGAATGTTGCATTTACGTTCTGACAAGAAAGAGTTCTTTGAAAACAAAAAGGCAACAATCCATCACTCTCTTGCTATCTAAAATAGATTCAACGAACGTAACAATGACACCAGTAATCTTCAATGGATAGTACAATCCTCAGATTTCTATCCTATTGAGTACACTTGAGATAAATTTAATATCACTTTCATCACTATAAGTGTCTTCAAGTGTTTGTACACCAGTTGCTAACAACACTTTTCTAAGACCCAGCTCTAATTGAATTAGTTGCTAACAATACTTTTTAAGAACCAGCTCTAATCGAATCAATTGCTAACAATACTTTTCTAAGAACCATCTCTAATCGAATCAACTGCTAACAATACTTTTCTAAGAACTAGCTCTAATCTAACGAGACAATTTATGACATTTTATGAAATGTATGCAGACTATTATTATTATTGAGGTGAAAAAGTGAAAATATCGGTTTTTACTTCGTGTTATGAAAGATAGAATTTGACAGGTCTCTTGAGCTATCTATAAGGAGTGTCTTGTAAAGCCCACAATACATCTATTATCAATTGTTGTTTAAGGTAGATTAATATGTAGAATTGTACACGGAATTTTCTCGACGTTAAAATACTTATATTTGCGAGCTTTCGGCCCTATTACCGGATGAAGGCCCGGTAAAAAGGCCGAAACTTTCTGAGTCACCTAATGAAATGATGCAGTATTTTTGTAATTCAAACCAACGGATTACCTCCAGGTTTCACCAACTGGAATGGTATGAATGCAAGGATATGGAAAGGGGTTTGTACTCCACAGTAAAAGTACTCTGACTGAAATACTTGGTACAAGCTATGATTAATCAGCCAGTGTGTAGTGCTAGATTTGTCGAAACAGAGAAATAGTGATGGCAAAGAGACAGAGAAAACAAAAATGAAATACGTATCAGATGAAGACAATACATTCCACACTTTTGAAACGAAGTTTTGAAAGCGATAAAAACCAGAATAAGTAACATGGAAGTAATAGAATAAGTAATAAGATGACAGTATTGATATTCTGTTTTTCCTAATACGCTACAAGTGTTTATACTTACCCTAGATATCCAGCTGCAGCAATAATTATTCTTAATGTATAAGGTGTTTGTTGTATTATCACTCATTTCTAACTTTATCAGTGTTTAAGTGTGTGTGTGTGTGTGTGTTGTGTGTTGCTGACATATTGAAAAATACACATATGAATAAGTAAATCACCTGT